AGTATCGAGAGGATGCAACGTGCCTGGTAAGTTGTAAAAAACATGCTTGCATGCTTGGATGTATGTGCTTCGTTTTACCATCAAAAGCTTAAGGTGTGCCTGTCAACCTCACTAGCGCTTTACATCTTTTCGCAGCTCCGGCGCCCTCCTTACGGTTCAAGGCATAATCGATGACAACTTCAGTGCTCTCGACCAATTCTTTCTTCATTTTCACAGGGTCTGGGAGGCGTTAGCCGACCAGAGCTCTCCAGAGGAGGTGGTCCGCCTGTTTAGTCTCCTGTCTCGTACAGTGTGTGGGCAAACGGAGGAGGAATTTGTGCAGGTAATATCATTTTACGTCTACTACTGCGGATCTTTCTTCAAACAGGGCTTTTTCCCCTCCCCAATATTGAGTATTTTTCTTACGTTCTTACAGGTGATTTTCGATTTCATCAACGAATGCTTCTATAACAGGCAGAGTATTATTAGCGGTCTGGAAGACGTCGTGCTGGCCGCGAATCTGGATCCATGAGGTGAGAGCTTTCAATTTGAATTTCGCATGCACTACGCTTTGAAAAATAGTTTTAGTGCGCGACTCCGAATTCGGAGTCAGCACCGCTATTGGTCTAAACCATTTGTATAGGATAATGAATGCAATTTGTGGTCAATTTAATAATGATGCTAATAAATAAATGTATTACCGGCAAACGTTAGGGAGTACTGAATACGCGTATTTCTGGCTTATTGGCCGTCATCGGCAGTACCTTCCCCACTCCAGTATAGCCACAGGGTTGGTGAATCCTGTACCAGATCGGAGTAAACCTATGTAATAATGCTAATAAATATTTAATTTGTAACCAGCAGCCCCACTTATCATGGCTAACTTTGAATTCACTTCCGAAGGTGTACTTTTACGTTAAAATATTTTGACAAATGTTTTGTTAACAATTGCATGTTATCGTATCTTCATTCGACTGGTGCTCTGACCTTCCTCAGTTGACTTTTCGCCGAACTCCTCTTCACGCCCTCTTGCGATTAACTGGACAAGTCCGAACAGATGACAAGATAAATTACTGTCTCAGAGAAGGAAGACCTTGCAAACCTACATCGAGGAAGGTATAAACAGAAAAGATGCCACCAGATCTGCCGATAACCTGATGAGAATGTTGAAATTCCGGAGGATTTACTTCAAACTTGATTCCTCCAATGCAAATTGCTGATTAAACTGTTCGTTTTCCACCAAACTGTTAACATCCAGTGTTCTGTTTTCGCTGAAGTTCTAAAGATTAAATTGTTCCATTAAAATTCACTCATTCTCCTACTTTGGTCTGTGCCATTGCGGACGTATGGGTTGGTACTGACAGTTCAATGCGTACCGCATGCGATCTGGTCTCTAACAAATGAGGCACAACTACCACTTTCGATAGCCATTTAATTTCTGGCATGAGTCTTTGGTTCTACAATACCTATCACGAAAGTTGATACCAGATTTGTGGGAAAAGAAAGGACTGTCGTTATGGTCTGGTGCAGGGGTCGGGAACGTATGGCTCGCGGGCTAGGTGTGCATCTTTTGGGGATTGCATCTGCTTTCTCAGATAAAATTGAA